TGAAAACAGATTGCGGTTAACGTGCATGCATGCACAATGTACCGGGCTGCAGAATGGTAGCACCGGTTGGTGTTCTTGAACACTTCTCTCCAAGCATGCGAAGAAATCGAACCAACAGCGAGGATAACTGTTGTACAGCGAATTTCCTAGATGCTTTGTTACGCTCGATACCACGTGCAGGTCCACCAGAGTGGCCAACTCCGGTTTCCCACATAACTGGTAGCTTCGTTGAATGCAGTCCCAATGATGTGCTGCATCCCCCTGCACTGCAGTCGTGACACTTCTGAGAAAATGCATGAATGCTGCGAACGAATGGGATGTGACTCCCTTAGGCTCATGAGCGAGAACCACACACACACACACTCACGCACGTGCTTCCATCTTTCTGCGAACCCATCAAGCCGTCTTCTTTCTTGGTCTGTACAGTGATATTCTGATACCTGACTAAACCTCTGCACTGTGACGAAATGCACCTCGAATAAGCTCAGCATGAACGCGGACGTTTGTTTGGCACGTTTTGTTCTTCACACTCCTAACAAATCACAAAAAAACTTTCAGAAAAAATCTTCTCCAGCCTTTTCACTGGAGCAACTTTGATGTGGTACCTGTATCCATCCAAAAACGTAGTAGCGCTTCTAGAAGCCTTAGAGTAAACCCCCATGGAACCCTCACTAGGACCTTTACAGCAGTCCTTATAGTAGTCCGTAGAATGACCCTAAACCCTAAACCCGCTCCTACAAGCCGAAACCCTAAACCCTAAACCCTAAACAACTCCAAAAGCAGCATCAGGCACGCTGGAGATGCCGGAGCTGGTGCAGAGGCAGCAAGTTCGACGATCACGTCCATAGCGCTGGACATTAAGGTTTAGGGTTCAGGGCTTAGGGGTTTAGGGTTTAGGGGTAACACTAAAAACTTACAGCGCAGGAGCCTCGATATCAGGATCCTTTCTGCGTTTTGGCGGCTATTGCTTCTCGCTCTCTTTTTCTGCAAAGCCTTCCCCCGTGATCTACTATACAACATTGCAAGTCCTTCCAGCGCACTAGAAGACCTTAGAACAGCCTTCCAAAACAGACTTTGCTCGGATTGCTCGTATCTCCTTGTAACCTTTGTATAGCTATACGAACTTTAGCAACAGTATCCCCCATGGTTTTTATACAGCTACACTGTGCCTTTTCTCGGTGTCATGCTGGTGTAGGACTCGTCTCGGGGCCGAAGCTGCCACCAAAGGTCCAAGAGGAAGGGTTGCGAGACTTGGTGTTTAGGGCATAGGGTTTAGGGCTTTAGGGCTTTAGGGCTTTAGAGCTTTAGGGTATAGGGGTTTAGGGTTTTTGGGTTTAGGGTATAGGGGTTTACGGTTTAGGGTTTGGAGGTTTAGGGTTTAGGGTTGGGAGCAGATCCCACTGGCTGTGTGAGATCTGCGCAGATCTCGCTGAGAGTTTAAGGGTTCGTCTTGTGGGTCGGCTGCTCGCTTTAGGGTTTAGGGTTTAGGTTTTAGGGTTTAGGGTTTAGGGCCCCCTCAAAGCAGACAAAAATGGGGGCACTAACAAATGGAATTCTGTTGGAGGTTATAGTGCAAGGATGACCTCGGAGACCCTCACTGACTTACTAGGCCCTCCCCTGTCCTCCAGCAACCTGAACCGCCACCATGCGATCTGAAATGTCGCTGGGCGTCTGAAGCCAAACCCTAAACCCCAAACCCAAAGCCCTAAACCCAAAACCCCAAAGCCATAAAACTTGGGACCCGATTCCGGGCTGCGGAACACAAAGGGTAAACCTGCCCCGGATGCTTTTTCGGAGCCGGACACAGACAAACCCAGCCCCGGAGACTCAGAGGAGCTAACCTCCCCGGCTTTGGGCTTTCGGGTTTACTGCGGCTTCAGGGCTTAGGGTCTCCGGGTTTCGGGTTTTAGGGCTTACGGTTTAGGGTCTTCGGGCTTGAGGCTTCGGAAACCCTAAACCCCAAACCCTAAACCCAAGTCTAGCTCAAGCCCAAAGATGGAGACCGGCCTAGCAGGCAGCACGGAACGATGATCTGGTCTATAAGTTCCATGGCTCTGCCTTCCAGGGTGGACTTCCACAGGAGCCCCGCACGCTGTAAGCAGGAAGGGTTTAGGGTTTCGGGTTTAGGGTTTAGGGCTTAGGGTTTAGGGCTTAGGGTTTAGGGTTTAGAGTTTAGGGTTTCATATCTACCCTCAAGAGCAACACCCCCCAGAAGTATGACGTGGTATGCGTCCGGTATACGGCTCCCCGGTTCTTCCTCACAGACTGCGGAAGCCCTAAACCCTATACCCTAAACCCTTAACCCTAAACCCTAAACCCTGAACCCTGAACCCTAAACCCTAAACCCTAAACCGTGAAGCCCACGACTCAAAGCATCTTGGGGCGTGGAGCTCCAAAGTTCGAGATTTTGGGGCGTTCGGTTTCGGATTTCAGGGTTAGTTAGGGTTTAGGGTTTAGGGTTTGGGTTTGGGTTTAGGGTGATAGATGGATAGACGGACAAACAAACAGACGGACACAGAGACGATCCAGGGACTATCTGCTTGGTTCGCGTGAAACGGCATGAAGGATCTGAGGTTGAAGGTGCAGGGCTTAGAAATTAGGGCTTAACCTGTTGGGGACTGCCAGCTTTCATTGTTTCGCCGAATCCTACATAGCCAATCTGGGCTTGATGGGCTGAAGCCTACAAAACAACCCGAGAAGCCGAAACAGGACACCCTACCACAAGGACCCTAACCTTTATCTAACCCCCATACCCCAAAACCCTGTACAAGGGGCTTTGCTAACTAGACTAATTTTTTGACGCATGTCAGGCTGTACCTAACACTTTCCGGAACAACACCACTGTTGATGATATAAATCCTGCATTACTTTAAGGACCCTAAACTATGGGAACTATGGTCTATCATATTTATGGGGTAAGATGCAGGATTTATAGCATCAACCGTACCAATTCAAACCCCTGGATGGACACCCTTCACGAGAACGCAGGGCCGGCCTTCGGAAGGAGACGGCGCAGGGGCAAACTTCTATCGTCTTCTGCACACTTCTAGCCAAAATGTCTGCACGTCGGTTTCAAACTCTGGTGGTAACAACCATCAAGGAAAGCCCCGAATCCAACCTTGTAAAGTCCGCGCTTTCAACTGTTTGCCCGAGCTCGAAGGCCCCAATTGTATTCGAAAGGCCTAAGTGCATGAAGTTTAACGTGTCGGCGGAACTTGAATGTATGTAGCAACACTGCACATCATCGAGATTACGAGAAACATGGCCAAATTACTCAGAAAGTCTCTCGCAAGTAACGAGTGGCAAAGCACGCCGCAAGCCAAACACCTCCTCAGCTTCAGCATGTCTTTCATCATCCGGCCTGCCGACCGCACAATGTCAGCAACATTTTGACGTGCAAGAATGCACTCTAAAGTTCTCAGCAGCATCTTCGCAAGATTCCTGTTAGCTTTCCTCGTCAGTCGGGCGTAAAGCTCTCGGTGTCGTGCCACAGCCGTTTCACGCTCGTCTGGAATCGCTTCCCCTTGGATCAACTTCTCCCGACCTCCGACCCTGCAGGCAAAGGCACTCGCGCCAGCACACACCCGGACACGGACCAGGCACTTGACTCCCTGAGCCCCTGAACCCTAATGATTGATTTTAATTTACTACTTGAGTCCTGCTGCAGCTGCGGGCTCCCTCATGAGCTCGGGCCGCTTAGCCGCCGGAGGCTCGCTCCCTACATCCCAGCCTCCTCAGCATGAGAAAGATCCGGATTCGCCGTGGGCCCTTCACCAACAGAGATCCTTGTCTCAGCAGGGGTCTCACCAGCAGCCGGCCTCTTGATGACTTTCTTCGTACCAGCCTTGGATTTCGGGCTCGCCTTCTGCCTGGCCTGCTTGGTGGGTTTGGACGGCCTTGAGTCCTTCGCTCAGGCATGAAACCAAACATCATGCACCAAGTTGATGCTGTGACCCGGAGGTATGTCCATGGCTTCAGATGCACGGGCACCTGTCTCGAGAGCTTTCCCCGGCCTTCCCACAAGGCCCAGCTAGCAGTGCAATGAGCTCCCATGTGTATGTGCAGAGATCAGCCGGCACATTCTGAATGCAACAGAACTCTACCACTGTATCTGACTTTGACTCTGTCATCTCAGGACTCAAGCAGAAAATCCGAACTGCCAGCGAGATGTGCTCAAGCTTGGCAAGTCATGAGCCCACATCGGACCCGAGGTTTCAAGGACCTCTGGGGGTTTAGGGTTTACGGTTTAGTAGTCTTCATGTCGGGACTGGACTGAGTCGGATGTTCAAATCCTATACCAATGCCCTGGCTCCAGGATCAAGGAACAAGTCAAGTACACCTTGGGCTTCACAGGTACCAGCCTGGATACCTGCAGCACCACCTCAGCTTGTATGCTCAACCCCTAAAATCCTCAAACTCTCAACTCAAAGACCCCTGCGGCGTGTAGGAGTTTAGGACTTCGTGTTTTCTCGGATTCGTCGGGTTTGAAGCTTTGGTTTTCGGTGCAGAGCGTCACACCTTTCGGGTCCACGGTTAGGGCTTCAGGTCGAGGCAACGGGCTTTGGGACGAAGAGTATGGGCTGTAATTAAGGGTTCGTCTGTGATTATATATATATATGTATAATATATATACACACACACAATATAAATATACATATATATATATATCTCTCTCTCTCTCTCTATCTATATTTCCTTTTGCATATAGATAGTATGCTTCCTGCGCTTTCCCATGGCGATTCTCGTGTTAGCGCAGGACGAGACTTGAAGGGCCTAAACAACAACCACACTACTATCACAACGCCACCCTAAACACCAAAATACCTAAACCCATCTAAACCTTGAGCCCCAAAACCCCTGAACCTGAGACCTCTACATCCGCATCGACCCCAAACCCGTCAAAAGATGCGGCCTGGCTCCTTTTGGAGCTGCTTCCCATGTATGACGTCTCTGCTGCTTTGAGCAGTGAGCTGACTTGTGGCCCAAGCCACTGCGCAGAATCAATAAGGCTTTACATATACTCGGAGGTGTTGAAGCCGATGGGTCCAGGCTGCGTGAATCTTGTCGGCGACGTGCAACGGATTGTTCATATGTATGTCCACGATGCGAATCACATCCCTTTGCAAAACTACATGGTTCTGACATCGACCTTCGAAATCTGGTGGGCGAGGGGGGAAAGTGTCGCAGAGCTGGATAGGGATGATCTCGAGGTTGTTGTCATGGGCATAGCGAAGTTCCACGTATGTTTCATATCGCGCTCCTGCTTGCATGAGGCTTGGGGCCCTAAGCCCTAAGAACTTCATCATGCCATGCTCCGTTCTGGGGGGACACGCAACTCTCGAAAGTCTTGAGAAAGGAAATGGCGAAGCCTTATGTCACATGCACGTGCAAAATCTCCTGTGCGCTGCCCGTAGTTCGTGCCACAGAAGGCGAGCAACGCCTTGGCCGTGTAGAGGCCTTGCAGAGTCTGGCTGCCGAAGGCGTCCCCGGGTGCCTGGGTGTCAACCATGAAGATGGGGACTCCCTTGTGAGTCAAGATGTCCCGAACTTTTTTGATGTAGTCCACCATTTCCGTGTCATTGAAACGCCCGGAGACCATGAGGTGGGTCCTCTCATCCTGGCAAGTGCAAGGAGCCGTAGTGTACGTTGCGTTTTGTTTGGATTGCTATCTATAATCTATTTATGCGTAGAAGAAGGAAACGATCTGCAGATCCTGACAACAGGCAGTTCGGATCCATTCTGGCAGAGAGATTTTCGGGGGTGCTACACTGCAGCAGCAGTAGCATGTGCGCTCTAACCAGGTCACAACAGATTAAAGCAACCACGGTACTACGACGCTGTCACTGCCACCTGAACTACGAAAAGACAACGACAACCTGCACAGTGGAAGACTTGTTACACGCCTCTTCTGCAACAGGAGCTGCCGGAGGAGGCGGCGGCTGAGGCTGTCCCGGCGCTGGCTCATCTTCAGACAGAGGTGGCAGAGGTGCCAGAAGTGGCGCAGGCGGGGGCTGGTCGTCTTGGGGTTCAGGCGGAAGTGGAGGAGGAGGCAAATATGGAAGCACCTGGCCGGGCATCAGGCAGCGTGCCATCAAGGGACACGGAAAGACGTGCTCAACTGCTGAATTGCCACTTTGTGCGGAGTCGCGGACCATTTTTTCATGCTGCCAACCTCTTACTTCCTGTGTCCCTGCGCGGTGCCTTGAAAAGCAGCGGGGTGTCTTCCTCCACACCTGCGATTGCAGCAGCCTCGGCTTTGTCAATTGTGAATTCGTTTTCCAGAAACTCCAGCTCTTGTTCCTCGAAAGCTTCTCTGCACCCTGTCCCAAAAACAAACCGAGCATCCCGTCCCAAGCTCCGAAGAACCCTCTTGCACATGAGACTACTGCTGGCCCAGAGGCCACCTGCTGAAGTTGTGCATATGAAATGAGAGGAAAGTCTTCTTGGCCGACCGGACCTTCGCAATTGAAGCCCAGCCCACGGGCTTTAGAGACAGCACGCGAGAGCATGTGGCTAAGGCATGCTCCAGGCACCCTTGAATGCGGTGTATCATCATCATGCATACCGGTACTTCACATGTAAGCTCTCGACAGAGCTGCACATGCTAAACACGAAGATATGCTTTCCTCGCCCCCCTCCCTGTCATTCCCAAAAAAAAGACGCTGCCCTCCACCTCCGGCGATGAGGGTGTTCTCCGGGCTGTAAACCTGCTAAAAACCACCCCGAATCTATCTTCAAGTCGTTCCATTACATGCAGGATGAGCAAACCCCGAACACCCGAAGGAGCTCCGGCAGGGTCCGCAGCCTCGACATAGAGGCCTTCTGGAGGCACATCCAGAAACCTGAGCCACGTGGAGAAGACAAAGGCTGCGAGACGGTTCGGCTCAAGACTCAGTCTTGGAAGGTGTACTTCCGCTGATTACGGATTGTATTTTTATGCAAAAAGGAGCATCTCAGACAGCAAGAAAACCGAAATGCGCTTTCGACAAGGGGCCACTCGCCACACTCGACATCTTCTGCTGGTGGCCACGGAGGAGGCGGAGGCGACCCACTCGTCTCATCTTTCACGACACCGGCAAACGCATAACAGAAATGCTCGAGCCGGAATCCTAGAAGGGATACCTCTTTGAACACCTTGGTCGGTACATCTTTGGTCACCTCCCATTTCCCAGAGGGCTTCGAGCGCCACAATTGGGCAGCCTCGACCCCGATCTCGCCCGTAACGGGCAGCAACAGCATCACGGGCTCTTGGAAGCGCCTTTCGTGTGGTAACAACCTCAAGACGGGGCTCAACGGCGTCACGCCTGGGGGCAGCTCGGGAGAAGTCTTTGCGTCCGCGATTTCGAAGGCGGCTTGCGAGAGCCTTTTGGACGCCATCAGGATCCCGTTGTGGATGTGGACGACGTCACTGGCTCCGATTGACACAATTCCTTCCTCCGAGGCTTCAGAGTTGCGCTGCTTCTCGCCTGCAGGCGAGGGCAATGACGGGATTGGACGAGGCACCCTCCAACCTTCATGATGCCTTAGTGCAAAACCTCTCTCCGTCAGTCAACAGCCGAACGCGGAGCTGGGCAGCACGCCGAATACTGGAAGCCCGAAATCCGAAAGCAAGACGCGATCGTCCCTACCCTGTCAATGCCCTCCCTCCGCCTCCGTGCCCAAGGGTTTTATACACTGTCTCAGCGGGCCTCTTCTGGCATGTTTCTGGATGACCTGCATAGCCTGAACCGCTTTCTGTGCCACAAACAACGATGCCGAACTTCGCATCAACAGCACCCCACAGAATGCATGCCATGCCATGGAACTCACAGACCCCATGGCAGCTGACTGCTGCGGCTGGCGAACTTGTTCAGGATCCAGTGGCCAAGCTAAGCCTCCCACACGGTGTCCAGTGAGGAGAACCTGCACTCCCGCCATGCGGTGCTGCGAAAGTCTCCGTCTGTCAGCTACCCGAGCATGCAGGCTATCCAGCGCTTGGCAAAACCTCCTTCTGAACTCTCTCTATCAACACGGCATGATGTCCTGTCGCTCAGCAAAGCCTAAAAGACCCCATGTGGTCATGGAATTGGCCTCTTTGCGCTGAAAGTTCTTATGCTTGGGAACCCTCCCGATCGTGGCTTCTGCTTAGTGCTCGTTGATTGTCGAAAACACCCCACCTGCCGCCTCTCCCCCTCCAAATTTGAGCGGCGCGCTTCCGGCCTCGTCTGGTAGCCCTAGGCGCTCGCCTTCTCTGACGGTGTTTTCCAAGGCCGCGGAGTCGCTTCCCGCCATCGCTTCTCGCAGCTTAGCGGAAGCTGCCGCCTGTCGGACCCGGATAAGATGAGCTGGACAGGTTCCAAGCTCAGGCTGAAATCCGTCTCCGGGCACTGGCTAGTGGTGCCATGCCAGCTGAGGAGCGCGCCGTCCAGAGACAGAGACAGACAGAGACAGAGACAGAGACAGAGAGAGACAGAGAGAGACAGCGAGAGACAGAGACAGACAGATAGAGATAGACAGACACAGACAGACAGAGACACACAGACAGAGACAGACAGACAGACAGACACAGACAGACAGAGACACACAGACAGAGACAGACAGAGATAGACAGACAGACGCAGACAGACAGAGACAGAGACATGACAGGGATTTTTTGCCTCCCGCCTGGCTAGGACGAACCTACGATGCAGGGTCTGATACAAGGTACCTGAGAGCCAGGAGTGCAGTACTCACCCCCGGTTGTCGACTACTGTTCTACGGCCATCACTCGGTGATCACATGCCAGGGATAGAGAGACAGAGAGACAGGGAGACAAAGAGACAGAGACAGAGAGACAGAGAGACAGAGAGACAGAGAGACAGAGACAGAGAGACAGAGAGACAGAAAAACAGAAAGACAGAGACAGAGAGACAGAGGCAGAGAGACAGAGATACCGGGAGAAGGAGAGACGGAGAGCTGGCAAGACGGGGAGACGGAGAGACGGGGAGACAGAGAGACAGAGAGAAACCGAAACAGCATACTGCCACTGGACCCGCAGTGAGCACGAAGATGATAAGGAAAAAACAATCAGATTTTGGCGAACAACAAGATCACGCCAAGCACGAAAGCAGGAACCTAGAGGCCTAGAGGAAGCATAGCACACTGAAGCGGGCACGGAATGAAGCTCGTTAGAAACACTCCAGCAGCACACAAACGAACTAGTACCGCAACGAAGTGTGCGACAATGATGATGTTGCACGTGCCGGGCAAATTCCACAACATGCCCGCCAGCTTCAGAACTTTAGTGACATCGGAATGACCATGCCTCTTCACGACTGGAAATGATGGACGGGCGATGCTGAGGGAGGGGGGGGCATTTTGAGGCATGTGAGGCCTTATGTGATGTTGCTGCTTCAAATGAAGATGATAATGTTTTGTGGGCGAAACCCTAAAACCCGACCCCTAAACCATGAGGCCTTGAGTGCAGCATAAACTGTTCAGAAGGTGATAGAATTGCCACGATTACAACAGTTAAAGGAAGCTAGGCAGTGAAACAATGCCGTTTATTTCTTTGGTTCTGTTAAGTCTGCAAGGCAGGGACCTCGTGATGACGTGGGATGCAACAGCAAACCTACAGCGCTGTGCCTGATGCAAGAGCGAATCAAAAGCGCCGCCACTCCTGTATGCCGCATGTTAACGCGCGATTCAACGGCGAATCAACAACGACGGTTGTGCTTAAGCTGCCGCGGTTGTACTGATGCTTGTACCGCGCAATGGGAATCAACAGCGCCCTTGCTTAAGTGCCCGCCGCCTACGCTTGATGGAATCCAACAATCAGTCGAGTTTCCCTTGCTTAAGCACCGGCGAAGCAACAGCGCCGCCCCTGCTTGAGCCCTGACGCTTGCACAGATGCTTGACCCGCATGATGGGAATCAGTACCCCCGGCCCAACCCCTTGTTATGCACCGAACTGATTTATGGATGACTTGAGAACCGTGAAAGACCGGCGAAACAACAGCGCTGCCTACGCTTAAGCTCCGCCTCTTGTACATTGATGATTGGACGGCGTGATGGGATTCAACAATGTTGCCCCTGCTTAAGCACCGGCGCTTGAATTAACGTTAGGAGAGCAAGAGAACGTACGATGCTACAATGAATCAAAGGTGGCACCGCTGCTTCCTTGCCGCTGCTTCAGCTGCGCCTGTTTTGGTGCTTGGACCGCATGATGACGTGTAATGCAACAGCGACTCAGCAGCAACTCAACAGCGCCGCTTGTGCTCAAGCGCCCGAAAGTGTACTGATGTTTGGACCGCGCGATGGGAAACAACAGCGCTGCTGCTGCTCGATCAAGCCCTGTGAGGCATCAGCGTGACAACGCACCCACCCTCAGGACCAACAGAGCATCCCCGGCTACCCCAGCAAAAGCAGTGGCCCGCACGATCTCTGCTTGATTGGCAGTCATTTCAGTGAGCCTCATTCCTTGAAAGGCATGTTGTCTGTCTTGCTCCTGGCTGACCCTAAACCCTAAACTCTATAAGGCTCCGTAGGGGCAGTGACAAGGGCTAGTCCGAAAGTCCACGCAGGAGAAGCCGGAAAAGCAAAGCATCAGCAAACTGCATTTCCCTAGTCATCCCTCTACCATCCTCTACCCCTGCCACGAGTTGCTGGAGGTTGTGTCTAGTGGCTGCCCCCCCTCCACACCCCAGCATACAAACAGTGTTAGTGACTTTGAGTGCAGCCCTCCACGCCCGCAGCCCTCCAGCCCTCAGCATGCTGAATCCTTCGAGTCTGGTTGCTGCAGGGTCGAGTGGATGCCCGCAGTCCTTGGCTGTCCTTGGCTGTGGCAACATGAGCATAGGCCTTGGGCCTCAGGATCTCTGCATTTTGTTTTGTTTTGTTTGGGGGGGGGTCCCAGCCTCGAGCTTTCCAGCTTTGCACAAGCTGTTCGAACATTGCCGCGCACCTTGTCCACGTACGGATGCCCGGGCGCAAGCGAGCGCTGGAAGATCTCCAACGACCGCTCCAGCAGCTCCTTCGCCCGCTGGTAGTCGCCCAAGTCTCCATAGGCATTCCCCAGGTTGTGGAGGATCTTCGCCACCTCGGGGTGGTCTGGTCCGTAG